TTTACATCATCATGTTTATAATCATATGGTTCAATTAATATTTCAGATATAAATAATGGTTCTGGAACTTGTTTTTGAACATAAAATGCTGAATCTGTTTCAGCTTCTACTTCTGTAATATTATATAAACCTAAGATTTCTTCAAAGATAGATTTAAGGAATTCATCTATATTTTCCTTAGAATTTAACATGTATGTAAACCAATTCGAATCATAAAATTTATATCTATAAACCAAATTAGTATTTGCTGGTAGATTCTCAATTAGTTGGTTTAAATATTGTCTTATCAATCTAATTTGAATTACTTTTTCATCAAAATTATTACCAAAATTAGCATAAATTCTATTGTTTTCAATATCATATTCGACATCATTTGATTTTAAAGCTACAACTTCATCATCATTTAATAATCTTTTGCTTGGTTCATAAAGTTGCTCTCTGTATTCAGCTTCATTATCGTCATCTTCCATTTGATGTTCTAAAGCCCATTCTAAATTCTCTTCATTGTCATCATAATTATTAATTAGATATTCTTGTTCTCTTTCGTTTATTAATATTTCATTTATATAGTCATAATCTTCTTCATTAACTTCATTGTCATCTTCTTTCATTTGATGTTCTAAAGCCCATTCTAAATTCTTTTTATCAAGCTCTTTTTGTTTTTTATAATCATCTTCAGCTTTAATTAATCCTGTTTTCTTATTAATTAAAGAAAAAGTCTTTTTGTTACTATCATTAAGATTATCATAAACTTTATTTAAAAAAGTAGAATCTAATTTAACTGTAGACTTTAAAAGATTAATATAATTAAGATACTCAAATTCTAAATCTTTTAATTTATCATAATTTTAAATTCCATAATTTTTTAATTTGAGAATCATTCTAAGCATTCCATTATCTTTGAATTTTGGATTATATCTTTTTAAATTTTCGTTTTTATCAAAACAGTTTCTGATATTATCATAATAAACGTCATTATAAATATCTTCAAAATCTATTATTCTGTCTGTCATTTAAATGAATAAAAAAATAAATTATGACTTGGTAATATGTAGATAAAAAATAATTTCATGAAAATTATTTGAAAAATATAATATAATATATTTACAACGATTTTAACATATATTGTGATGATTGAGGATGCGAGAGAAGCGAGTGTCCGAAATCGGCACAATATATATACTACTACGTGTTTTATCGCAAAAAAATCTGTGAAATATTTATTTATAAATTCTAATAATCAAAAAATGGAGAATGGTATAAAAGAGAACTTTTGATGTGTAAATTACAAAATATAATGTTTAATGCAAATTTAAACAATTTTTGTTTGTTTATTAAACAGCAACACAATAAAAAAATAATATAAAAGTAATTAAAGTGAAAACAAAGAAACCGACATTTATTTTTGTTTTATTTATTGACTAGGATTTATTTGTCACAGTGTGACAAAACCCATCATCATTTTATAAAAGTCTGTTTATTAACTCTATTTATTTTTTGGTCAATTATTAATGAAAACGTTCCTAACTTACGTGAATAGATATATCCCCAAAAATTATTATGAATATAATTATTTAAAAACCAAATAACAAATAACATAATCAATGACATAAATAAGGTTTAGACCATATGACCAATTATTTTCAAACATTTAAAAAAATATATACAGTTAATTTGGTAATAATTTTGAACAAAATAACGGGAAATGTTGCTAACAAACTATGTTATTGGCATTGTCCACTTGAAGAATATTGCTTTTAGGGACTCATACTTTGCAATATTTTACATACACTCTTTGTAGAGCAAATTGAAATCCAAACTGCCAGAACCATCTTTTGGCAGTACCTTTTACCCGACCACAGAACTTCGATTCGATGATCGACCCTGCCAATAATGTTGTTCTTTTTTGTTTATAATTTATTTTGTTGTTATCAATTTCGTTAATAAAAATTTAAGTTGTTTGTTGTCGAATTTTGTTGTATCTATCACATCGAACAACAAAAAGTTTTACCAGACAGTTATTTGTAACAGCTTTTAACATTGTTGTTACACGCTTTGTCTGTAAAAAATAAATTGGTCAATTTGTCCAATTTTGTTTTAATTAAAAAAACATAGATTGATATTAAAGAGAATAAATTCAAAAACAAAAAATAACCTATTTTCGGCGATAAATAAGGTCTATGGACAGATTATATAATATAATTATAAAACTTAATACAACTATAAAATCCAAAATTGTGCTCTAAA